TTCCTTGATATATCTATTAAAATTTTTTATTTCTTCTTGCCTTTAGGTTTGCCTTTAGGTATAATAATTCATTTCTTTTTAGGAATTTTTTTTTCCATTTCATCTAAGTTCTCTAATTAATTAGCATGAAGTTGTTCAAACCTTTCCTTTATAATCATTTTAATTTCTGTAGAGTAAGGAGCAATGTTCCCTCTTTCATTCCTGCTTTTGGTAATTTTTGTCTTAGTTTTTATTCTATTGTTTGAGTCTAGCTAAAGTCATCAATTGTGCTGATCTTTTCAAAAGACAGACTTTTGGTTTCATTCATTATCTCTATTTTTCTCTTTTCTATTTGATTTCTACTCAGATCTTTATCTTTCCTTTCTTCTACTTACTTTGAATTATATTTGTACTTTTTCTAGCTTCCTAAGCTTAAAGTTTATATTAATGATTTTAGATCTTTCTTCATTTCAAACAGGAATTTAAAGTTATAAATGTCTTTGCACAAATTTAGCTGCATCTATTCATTTTTTATATTTTGTGTTTTCATTTTCACTCAGTTCAATGTTCTCTAATTTTTCTTTTGATTTCTTCTTTGATCTATAGGTAATTTAGAAGTACATGTTGCTTAGTGTCAAAATATTTGGGAACTTCCCAAACATTAAATTTATTATGTTTTTTTAATGGCTTAACATAATATATATCTTAGAGAATATTCCATGAGCACTTGAATGTATATTCTGCTGCTCAAGAAGTTGGTTAATATTGTTATTGGCACCTTCTATACTCTTACTAAGGAGCCCTGGTGGTGCAATGGTTAAGTTGGTGGTTCAAACCCACCCAGGGGCTCCATAAGAGAAAGATCTAACAGCAGCAGTACATCAACAGGGAATTGCCAGAAATTCAAGCTGGATTCAGAAGAGGACGGGGAACAAGGGATATCACTGCTGATGTAAGATGGATCTTGGCTGAAAGCAGAGAATACCAGAAAGATATTTACCTGTGTTTTGTAGACTACGCAAAGGCATTCAACTGTGTGGATCATAACAAATTACGGATAACACTGCAAAAAACAGGAATCCCATAACACTTAATTGTGCCCATGCGGAACCTGTACATAGATCAAGAGTCAATCATTCGAACAGAACAAGGGGATATTGCATGGTTTAAAGTCAGGACAGGTGTGCGTCAGGGTTGTATCCTTTTACCATACTTATTCAACCTGTATGCTGAGCAAATAATCTGAGAAGCTAGACTATATGAAGAAGAATGGGGCATCAGGTTTGGAGGAAGACTCATTAACAACCTGGGTTATGCAGATAACACAACCTTGCTTGCAGAGTGTGAAGAGGACTTGAAGCACTTACTGATGAAGATCAAAGACCACAGCCTTCAGTATGGATTACACATCAACATAAAGAAAACAAAAATCCTCACAACTGGATCATAAGCAACATCATGATAAGCAGAGAAAATACTGAAGTTGTCAAGGATTTCATTTTATTTGGATCCATAATCAATGCCCATGGAAGCAGCATTCAGGAAATGATGCATTGCACTGGGCAAATCTGCTGCAAAAGACCTCTTTAATATGTTGAAAAGATGTCACTTTGAGGACTAAGCTGTTCCTGACTTGAGCCATGATATTTTCAATCACCTCATATGCATGCAAAAGTTGGATGATGAATAAGGAAGACAAGAAGGATTGATTCCTTTAAACTACGGTGTTGGCAAACAATACTGAATCTACCATAGACTGCCAGAAGAAAGAACGAGTCTGTCCTGGAAGAAGTACAGCCGTAGTGCTCCTTGGAACCAAGAATGGCAAGACAGTCTCAGAGACTTTGGTCATGTTATCAGGAGGGACCAGTCCCTGGAGAAGGATATCATGCTTGGTAAGGTAGAGGGTCAGTGAAAAAGAGGAAGACCCTTGACAGGATGGATTGACACAGTGGCTGCAACAATGGGCTCAAACATAGCAACCACTGTGAGAATGGCACAGGACCGGGCAGTGTTTTGCTCTGTTGTACACAGGGTTGTTATGAGTCAGAACTGACTCAATGGAACCTAACAACAACATTTGCTTCCATAAAGATTACAGCCTAGAAAATCCTAAGGGACAGTTCTACTCTGTCACATGGAGTTGCTATAAGTAGAAAATCAACTCGATGGCATACAACAACATATTCTTACTGATTTTCTGTCTAGTTGATCTATCAATTACTGACAGACTAGTATAGAAATCTCTAACTATCATTACTTTATTCTGTATTTCTTATTTCAATATTTCATTTTTTACTTCACATATGGATGGGGCTCTGTTGTAAAGGGTATATCCATTTATAATTGTTATATCTTTCTGATCTATTGACCCTTTTATTATTATAAAATGTTCCTCTTCATATCTTCAAGCTTATTATATCTGATGGAGTCTCTGGGTGGCACAAACAGTTAAACACCCAGCTACTAACTGAAAGACTGGCAGTTCAAATTCATCCAGGGGTGCATCAGAAGATTGGCCTGGCTATCTTCTTCCAAAAACTACTGTCATCGAAAGCCCTATGGAGCACAATTCTACTTTGAAATACATGATGTCACCATGAGTTGGAATCAACAGTAACTGGTGGTGGTGGATTATATCTGATGTTAGTATAGCCATTCCAGCTCTCTTATGATTATTGTTACATAGTATATCTTTTTCCATCCTTTCATTTTCAATCTATTTGTCTTTGAGTCAAGTATGTCTCTTGAAGAAATCATTTAATTGGATCTTACTTATTTATCTAGTCTGACAATCTCTGCCTTTTGATAGGAGTATTTTATCTATTCACATTTAAGTATAGTTATTGATATCAAAATCCATATTGATTTGGATTTACATCTGCTATTTTGCTATTTGGTTTATACATGTGCTACGTCTTTCTTATTCTATTCTTTCTAGGAATCTCACCTGTGCACTGCTCAGTGGTTATCAAACGGACCCGTAAGGTTCCACCCTCTGTTGATTATTTGCGTGTGGGTTGAGGAATGCACTCAAAGCCCAAGCCACTTCTCCAGTCTCCCTCTGCTTTCACTTTTTGCTGGACTCTCACTGTCTCCGCTGCACATGTATAGCTAGCTTCCCAGTCAGCCAGGAATGTGAGGAGAGCTTATCTCAGCCTTTAGATTGTTTCTTCACTTTCAGGATCTTCCTGTCAACTTTCTGGCTGGTCTGCTGCTTGCCCCAGTCAGAACTGCAATCAGCCTAGCAAAGCTGTAATGTTTCCCTATCCATTCCCAACTGAACCAGCCACTTTTAACAGGTAAAGCTATGGTATTTGTTATTCTGCTCAAAATCGATTCTGTCCCTGCTGGTAGCAAATTGGATGAATTTTGCACCCAGCGCCAGGTGTGTGAAGCCATAGTTTTCACTGACCACGCAGAGTATGGGAGTAAGCCCAGGGAAAAGGCTACATACTCCTGCCATTTTTATACGAAATTATAGCAGTTTTCAAACATAAACACTTCTTAATTTGTTATCTGACTTGGTCAGTTTACAGTGCTCTGAAGTTGTTTATAGCAATTGTGTCCAGTTTTATACTTGTTTTTGTGTAAAATAATTGCCAGTCTCTTCATGCCCCCATTACCAGAAGCCCCATTTTTTGTATATTCTTTACTTTAGTAATGCAACATCTTTGCAATATATGCAAAGGTAACTCAAATTAAAAGATGAAAGTTAGATTCATGTCACTGGTCCATACTCTTGAGTTTATATTACCATCTTGGCATAATACAGCATTTAAAACTACTTTAAACAGACCATAACTTTCAAATCTGAGTAATTTGTTTCACTGCAGGTTTCTAGACAGCTCTGGAAACACTCTTTGAAGACTTTTATAATTGCAGGAGCTAACTAATTGAGCACAGAAAATATCCCCATATTTTCATAGATTTGCAAGGCAACTTTAATACTTTCAGTAAGTTGAAATTGATATTTCCTGGGATAGAACCTATCATAAACCTAGACCTACATAAGAAATCATTTAATTCACCATATTGGCTGACATACCACCCACTTGCCTTCTTCAGACTCTGTAACATTTATAAAATTAGTAAAAAATGTTTTTCCAAATAATTTCAACCTATACAACTTTTGTTTTTTTCTCTTTCAAAAAAAGCAGAGGCCGCTTTCAGTTTCTCTGACTGGAAGACTTATCTTCAGGAATAAAAATATTTTAAATGTATTCAACTGAATTTGAAGGAAGTTGTATGAAGAGATGAGAGCGTCAGCCTAACTCAATGTGGCTTTCACTTCTAGGTATACTACTGCATATTTCCATTACATGAACATATCACAATTAATCTATTTAAACTCCTACTAACGGACATTTCAACTGCTTCCAGTTTTTGCTATTATGAACCATGCTACAAACATTCTTAAGAAGGCTTTTAGTATACCAGAGAGAATATAGCTCCAAGATATATATGAGCATCTTTGCCTTTACTAGATAACTCTGAACTGTAGTTGTTCCAATTTACATTGTATAGCAGCATATAATAATAAAAAAATCCACTGCCGTCGAGTAGATTTTGACTCATAGCGAACATATAATAGTTTCCATTTTTTCATACCTTTGATATTGCCATATTTATTAAGTTTTGCCAATCTTATGGCTATAAAAATGAAATCGTGGTTTTTTAAATCTGGATTACACTAAATGTTAACGAGAATTAGCACCTTTTCAAATGTTTACTGGTAATTCCTTTGAGAGAAGAAAAGAAAAAGAGAAGCTATCTGAAAAATATAAAGCAAAAGTAATACTTGTTCATTTAGATGGTAGATGCAGCATGGATTTTGTTAAATTATTTTTATTTAGATTTCACTGTGTCTGAAATAACATTATAATTTTACAAAACCATTAACCTTTAAACCAAATTACACTTTGAATTTGTTCTTTAAATTTGAGGTATTGAAGGCTATGTGGTTACTCTCCACAATATTCCTACATCACAAATTGACTCATAAAACAGTAAGTACTTACTCGAAGGCCAGAAATCCTCCTCATGGTAACCTGGCGGTTTGAATCATGGTGTCCAGAAATTTGGTTTGGACCCGGGAACATGAAATCTCTTGTGTTTTCATCATATGTAGACAGTGTTTCACCCACTACAAGAAAGATATCCTATGATTCAAATTATAACAAAATATTCTATTTAGAAACAAGATCATCAAGTATGATATATATGTTGCCGGATGCCTTATTTAAATACCTGCTTCAGGGTCATGTATTTTTTTTCCTATGAAAGAAAAATTAAAATAAAGGTATATTAAATGGATTAACACATTTAATTACTCAGGAATATGCTACATTTTACTAATTCTTTTTTTACTCCCTTTTTGTAGAATTGGGATATTTATATAAATTCAGTGAACATCTATGAGTTCCTAAAAAAGAAGATGTCTATTTAAAAATATCAAGTTGGTATAGCATTTACACATCTTAAACTTAATTATCATCTCTACAACTTCATTTTTTCTATCTACCATTATAAGACATGGGGTTACCTGTTGAAAAAATACAGACATTTTCTAGAATTTGCAATTACCTGAATTAGGTATACATGTAATATTCAAAATTTTAGATAACTAGTTTTCAATAAAACATAGCTCTCCGTTTTTCACATAAGGCAATAATTTAATCAAAATATATTTCTTCTATAATCATACAAATCAGTAACAAAACTAGTCTACATATATTAACTCTACCTCCCCCAGAGATCTGTAATGTTTATTAAGTAGGTAAAGTTTTATTCCCCTCCACTCCACAATAACAGCCAACACACTCACAAAAGATAAATAACTCTATTTCAGCAACAGAAGTACATAATTTTAGAAAATCACAACAATTTAAAAGTCCATTTTTATGGTTTTCACAAAATATCCTAGGTTAATATCAATTTATTTTCCACTTTGAATTACTACTATTAATTCAGTTTTAGAACAATGTGTTCAAATACCATTTATGTCAATTTTTCTGTATGTATTATTTTGTTCTATTGATATTTTACACATAATGGAACAATGATAGAAGCTCTACATTGTTCTTTGTTTGGAAAAAAGGAGAAAAGGTGAAATCTTTAAAAAGCATTTCACTGAATAGGTTTCCATGTCAATTACCTTATCAACATATAATACAGTACCTGGTGGAACAAGCTGTATCAACTCAAATACTGCTGTATCATCTGAAAGTTTAAGGAAAATTTTTGGTTAAGTAAATTAATAATAAGCAAAAGTTAGTTACTTCACAAAAAGAAGTATCTAAAGGCCAAAGAAATTGCTGGGTAGACTACATATATCTCAGCAGACTATATATGTTTATAAATATAAATTATGTGTGTATCTTAAGCAGAGTGGTTAGCACATTTGGCTATGTTACATAATACCTTATACCTTTTTTGTTGTTGTTGTTTTAAAGAACAGAAATTTATTTTCTCACAGTTCTGGAGACTAAAAATTCAAATCAGGGTATTGGCCATGTTGATTCTTTGAGAGAGGAATTGTTCCATGCCTTTCTCATAGTATCTGGTGGCTATCAGCAATCCTTGGTGTTCCTTTGCTGCTTACAGATGTATCTGCCTCTATTATCACATGGTGTCTTTCCCTGTGTGTGCATCTTCTCTCCAAGTCTGTTCTCCTTTTTTATAAAACATCAGTCATGTAGGATTAGGATTAAGACCCATGGTACACCAATAAGATTTAACTGATACCTTCAAAGGAAGACTCTATTTCCCCAAACAAGGTCACATTCACAGTAATACCTTATACTTTTAATATGTCTAAAGTATTTTATAATAAATTATAAAAATAAAATCATGTCCTTCCTTCCTTATACGAACTCATGAAAAAGGCATAATCTCTCTCTTCCTTAACAACGTGGCATTTTCATTCAATTGAAATCTTGGTCATTTAGTCCTCTACTTATATTTCCAGTCTACTAAAGATACTGGATACCCCCTTTGACTCATACTCTGGGTGAGTAATAAAGAGAAAAAAAAAAAACCTATGTCCTTTTCCCTCAAGTATCTTACATTCCATTAACAGGATAAGCATTAAATGAAATAAACACAAATAAATACATAATTACAAACCACAAGTACAATGAAAACATTATAGATAGTGCTATGAGAGCACACAATAAAACCTAATCCAGGCAGGGAGTCGGGGAAGGTTCCCTGAGGAAGAGATCTTTGGGACCTGATTTATAGTATAAATAGGTGTTAACCAGGGAGTTTTCCAAGCAGAAGGAACAGGATGTAAATAAAACATAGGGTAATCTAGAAGATTAGGTATTACAAAAACAGACTTCCTGCACAAATATCTGGAAAAGGTAGACAACTAAAGGATCTATTTGAAGACTGGAAGTCATAAAAAGCAGTAAATGAATAGACGCCAAAAAGATGAGCCTGACATTTGAGGCTACTTTTCCCTCATGGGCATATACCAATTCTGATAGAGGCTGCTGAGTGGTCAAGAAGCTAAGCATAGCTTTTGATAAGATAATGGGGTAAAGGAATTAAAATTGGAGTACATGGCCTCAGGAGGAAGGGGGAGGTGTGGAGGGAAGGGACAGTAGCCCAAAAACTGGATAGATGTTACGTTGGGATGCTGAAATCACATACTCCAACAGTAAAGGGTGAACAAAAAATAAATAACTAGGAACTGAGGCCCAAATTTGAATCATCTCAAATCTTGTTTGGATTAAAGTGATCCAGAATGGCTATCCCTAGCAATCTGCTATAGAAATCATAAATCTAGTCAGAAGGAAAATATTCTCATGCAAGGCCATAAATTATTTACATAATTTTTACCTACAAAGTCTGGCATCCAATCAAAGCTTACCTGAGACTTAGGCATATAGGGAAAAAAGACAATTGGGATCAAAAACCAAGAGATATAACAGGAAACAGAAAAATATTAACGGAAGATCTAGAAAACTGATTTATCTGACAGGAATTTTAAAATAGACTATATGCTCAAGAAAATAAAATCAAGATGGAGAATGACAGCAGAGAACTGGAAATTATTAAAAGAACCAAGTGGATTTTTTTTTTTAACTGAGAATTACAATAACCAAAAATTAGGATTGCAATGGATGAATTTAGTAACAGATCATAAATGAGTCAAGAGATTCAGGAAACTGGAAGACACAAGAAAGTATCTCGAAAGAAGATCAGAAAGCCAAAAGAGACACTAGAAATAGAGTGAGAAGGTCTAACAATGTGTAAATCAATCCACATAAAAAGAGAAGGCAAAGGGTCAGATGCAATATTTGAAAAGATAATGTCTGAAAATTTATCTAAGCACCAGGCAGAATAAATAGAAAGAAAACTACATTTGGCCACATCAAAGTAAAACTACAGGAAAACAAAGACACAAAAAAAGATTATTAGAAGGAGTCAATGAAAAACAACAGAATACCTTTGTTACAAGTTGAGTTGTGTTCCCCTAAAGGCATGTTGAAGCCCTAACTACCTGACTCCTGTGAAATGTGCACTTATTTGGAAACACGGACACAGAAATGTAACTAGTTAACACAAGGTCACATTGCAGTAAAGTGAGCCCCAAGGCACTATGACTACTTTTGTGTCCTTCAAGAAAAGAGAAGAGGCACACAGACAGATGCAGAGGAAAGACAGTCGTGTAGACAAAGTCAGAGATTGGAGTTATACTGCCACAAGCCAAGGAATGTCAGGGGCTACAGAAGCAGAAGAGACAAAATAAGGATCTTCCCATAGAGATATCCTGCCAACACACTGAATTCAGACTTCAAGCCTCCAGAACTGTGAGAGAATGAATTTTGGTTGTTTTAAGCCACTTGGTTTGTGGTACTGTGTTACAGCAGTCCTAGGAAACTAATAAATATTTTGGTACCAGAATTGCATGCTGCTAGAACAAATATTTAAAAATGTGTAAGTGGCTTTGGAATTGGATAACGGGTAGAGGCTGGAATAATTTTGAGGTGTTTGGTTGAATACACATAGATTGCCTTAACAAGACTATTGACAGAATAATGGATATGAAAGTTCATTCTGGTGAGAGCTCAGCAAGAAATGAGGAGACAGTAAAGAAAGCTTCTATCAATTAGAGAATACATATATCGTGATGAAGAAAATGTTGCTAGAAATATGAACATTAAAGAGGCTTCTGTTGAGCAAGAAAATGAGGAACATGTTAGTGGAAACTGTAGGAAAGGTTATCCTTGTTATAAAGTGGCAGAAAACCTTGCTAAATTCTACTGTTTTATAGAAAGTATAACTTCTAAGTGATGGACTTGGATATTTAGCTGAGAGGATTTTTAAGGAAAGTATAGAAGATGCAACCTGGTTTCTCCTTGCTCCTTACGGTAAAATGTGAAAGGAAAGAGAGAGATTGAGGAATGAATGCTAATCAAAAAAGAATCTGAACTTGAAGATTAGGAAAATTCCAAGCCTATTAATAGTGGAAAATGAGAAAGTATGCTCTGGCGGGAACACCAAGGGTGTGGCTGGACAACTGTTTGCTACAGATTGAGAGACTTATGGAAACAATCAATCCACTCAGTAGAGGCACTGCCAGCCTGTACTGAAGGGGACAGAGAAGAGACAAAATGAAGGAATCCTGTAGGCATCTGGGATTTGACAGGCATGAAATGAGTCAACAGGACTCTTTCCCACTGGTCATGGTATATAATCCTTTTAATATACTGCTGAATTCAGTTTGCCAGTATTTTTTAAACTTTTGTGCATCAAGGGCACTATCAAGAGAGTGAAAAAACAACCCAGAGAATGGGAAAATTTCTTAGCAAATCATATATCTGATAAGGCATTAATATCCAGAATATATAAGGAACTCTTACAACTCAACTACAACAAGAAAATACAACCCAGTTAAAAATGGGCAAAGGACTTGAACAGATATTTCTCCAAAGAAGATATACAAATGGTTGATAATACACATGAAATGATGCTCAACTCATCAGTCATTAGGAAAAAGCAAATCAAAACAATGAGATACCACTTCACACCCACTAGGATGGATATACTGGGAAAAAAAGAAAGAAAGAAATAAGTATTGGTAAGGATGAAAAGAAACCAGAACTCTCATACATTATTGGTAGGAATGTAAAATGATAATAGCCATTGTGGAAAACAGTCTGTTGGCTCCTCAGTAAATTAAGCATATCCTTACCATGTTGTTGTTGCTGGTGCCATCAAGTTGGTTCTGACTCACAGTGACCCTATGTAAGACAGAACAAAACACTACCCGGTCCTGAGCCATCCTTATGATCGTTGTTATGCTTAAGCCCATTGTTGCAGCCACTGTGTGACTCCATCTCATTGAGGATCTTACTCTTTTTCACTGAACCTCTACTTTACCAAGTATGATGTCCTTCTCCAGGGACTGATCCCTCCTGATAAAATGTTTAAAGTGTGTGAAACTACATCTCGCCATTCTTGCTTCTAATGAGCATTCTGCTGTACTTCTTCCGAGACACATTTGTTTGCTCTTTTGGCAGTATTGTTCTCCAACACCATAATTCAAACGCATCAATTCTTCTTTGGTCTTCCTTATTCATTGTCCAGCTTTCAAGTGCATACGAGGAGATTGAAAACACCATGGCTTGGGTCAGGTGGACCTTAGTCCTTAAAGTGAAATCTTTGCTTTTTAACACTTTAAAGAGGTCTTTTGCAGCAGATTTGTCCAATGCAATGCATCATCTGATTTCTTGATTGCTGCTTCCATGGGCATTGATTTTTGATTCAAGTAAAATGAAATTCTTGACAACTTCTGTCTTTTCTCTGTTTATCATGATGTTGCTTACTGATCCAGTTGTGGGGGATTTTGTTTTATGTCCAGGTGTAATCCATACTGAAGGCTGGGGTCTTTGATCTTCATCAGTAAGGTCTTCATGTCCTCTTTAATTTCAGCAAACAAGGCTGTGTCATCTGTATAGTGCATATTGTTAATGAGTCTCCCTCCAATCCTGATGTCACGTTCTTCATATAGTCCAGCTTCTTGGAATATATGCTCAGCAGACAGATTGAATAAATACGGTGAAAGGATACAACCTTGATGCACACCTTTCTTGACTTTGAACCACCGAGTATCCCCTTGTTCTGTCTGAATGACTGCCTGTTGGTATAAGTACAGATTCCTCATGAGCAATATTAAGTGTTCTGAAACACCCATTCTTCACAATGCT